GTGGGGACTTGAGCATTTAGAACCAGCTAACTGTTGTGAACTGTTGTGAGTGTCCATCTAGGCACATCCTGCTGATAACAAAGGCCAAGTGTAACGTGAGAAGAGTTCTCTATGACGGTTGCACTTATGTGTCCGCTTGGCTGGGCCACCGTGTTTAGAAGACTCACTTGATGGAACAGCATGCTTCAGTCACATAGGATCAAGCCTACAATGGCAGCAGATAACTGGTTGGCCAGCTTTGGAATAATGACACTGGGCTGTTACATGATGCAATGTGGCCATTCGGCAGCGATGCCACTTAACAGCGGGTAATGACGTCCCCATACACATCACACTTTTCTCATAATAACCAGGTCACTGGAAGCTAAGCATGTTGGTAAGAGAGGGGCAGGTATATCATGAAGCAGGTAAATGCAAACGTGCCGAATGCGGCATCCCTGCATGGTCCCCAAGGACCCTCTGCTCCTTAGAAGGCCTGGCACACCAGGTCACCTAGTCCAATCTAACCCACTGTGCAACAAACCACCACTGTCCTGTCTGGCCTCCAAGAAGCAGCCTGGTTTCACCTTTCCAAGACAAACCTCTTTGTTTTCCTAGCAGTCCATGGTATATTCAATACTCTTTCTCCAATACCACAGCTCAAAGGCATTAACTCTCCTTCTATCATCCCTAGTCATTGCCCATTTTTTCAGATGCATAGCAAGTAATTGTGAAGACCATGGCCTGGATCAGGTGCATCTTAAGTCTCCAGACTGACATTGTTGCTCTTTACCAGCTTAGAGAGGTCTCTGACAGCAGACTTTCCCAATGGAAACAAGTGTGTTGATTTTGAAGCCAAGCAAACTGAAGCTGTTAACAATCTCAATCTCTTCACCATAAACCATGATGCTGGCAATTAGCTCAGTGGTGAGAATCTTTGTTTTCTTGATATTGAACTTCATGCCATACTGAAGGCTGCAGTCCTTGACCTTCTGCAGCAAGCACTTCACGTCCTCCTCAGTTTCAGCAAGCATGGTTGTGCCATCTGCATAACGCAAGTTGTTGATGAGTCTTCCTCCAATCCTGATGCCACATTTCTCCTTATAGAGCCCAGCCTCCTGGATAATCTGTTTTACATATTGACTTTAAAGGTATGGAGATAGGACACATCCATGGCATACACCCTTCCTGACTTTGAACCTTGCAGTGTTTCCTTGCTCTATTCTGACGACTGCTGCCTTGTCCAAGTACAGGTTTCACATGAGAACAATCAAGTGTTCTGAGATTCCAGTTCTTCTCAGAGTCAGACACGGTTTGCTGTGTTCCACACAGCCAAATGCCTTTGCATAATCAATGAAACAGACACAGACACATAGACATGTCTCTTGCACCCTCTTTCAGCTAAGATCCACCTAATATTAGCTATAATATCCCTAGTACTATGACCTCTTCTAAACACAGCCTTCACATCTGGCAGTTCTCTGTTGATGTGTTGCTCCAGTTGTTTTTGGATAATTCTCAGCAGAATCTTGCTTGCATGTGATATTAATGATATTGTTCATAATTTCTACACTCTGTTGGGTCACCTTTCTTTGAATATGGGAACAAATAAGAATCTCTTCCAGATTTTTTTGTGAGTGTCCAGGGCAGCGTCTGTTTATTGAAATATGTCAGTTGGTATGCCATCTATTCCCGGGTACTTGATTTTGCCAATTCTTCCACAGCAACTTGAACTTCTTCCTTCATCACCACAGGCTCTTGCTCATGTTTTTCATTAAATTCTTCCACCAGCTAATTTCTTTTCGTAAAGTGACTCTGTATACTCCATCCATCTTCTTTTAATGCTTCCTGGATCATTTAATATTCTGTCCAAAACACCCTTAAGTATTGCTACTCGAGGCTTGAATGTGTTCTTCAATTTCTTCGGTTTAAGAAACACTGAATCAGAGTCTGGGGAGTGTTAACACTGAGGTAACCCTCACACAGGTGTGCCTGTCATCATCACACGGATCTAACGTGTGTGTGTGTGTGTGTGTGTGTGTGTGTGTGTGTGTGTGAGCGTATCACTGAGGTAACCCTCACACGACTCTGTTAAGTGATCATTTGCTTGCTGACCGGTCTGCAGAATCCACCCAGCATTGATTTTGGTTAAGGTGGAGGTGACCCAAGTGTACGTGTCCCTGGCGGATGTGCCGTGACCAGTGGTGGTGTTGTTGTCAGTGTCCAGGGTGGTCACATCCTTGATGACACCAGGACTGAGTGGGGACTTCCTGCTCATTCCTCCTTTCACTGGGTATCCTGGCTGGTTGCCTGGCACACACAGCGGGTTTTGTTTTTGTGTTGACCTGCGGTGGAACAACATTCAGAATCCCTGTTTGAGTTGAATGTCACTGCTACTTTGGTGTTTTGTGTGAGGTGGATCATGGGATCTGTACATAAGCAGGTCGGGCTTCACTGGTGGTCAGGAGTGGCTCAAGTGTCAGGGGGTGACCCTCTCTGATGCATAATGAGAAATCTCAAGTCCACTGAGAACAGCACTGACCATTCTTAGAAACACCAGGCTCAGAGGCTCAGGGCCAAGCCCATGACACCTCCAGACAAGATAGAACCTGCTCTGAACAGTATCCCTTCCCAACAGCCGAGAAGGCTCACAATTAGAGCATGCAAATTAATTTTTATCACTTCCAAATGAGTTCTGGAATTTGTGTAAAAGTCTGTTTCTGATGAAAGCAGCTGCTCTTCAGAAGCAGACATTCTGTTACCTGGTCAGAGACCTGAACAAAACCTCCAAGACCATCCCACATTCAGAAGCGCATGTGAAAGATGAAGAAAAGTGAGGGAAAAGGAGGGGGGATGGCAGAGGGGACAGAGGGGATAGCAGAGGGGATGGAAGAGGGGACAGCACAGAAGATGGCAGAGGAGATGGAAGAGGGGACAGAGGGGATGGCAGAGGGGACAGTAGAGGGGGGCACAGCAGAGGGGACGCAGTAACACCCAGTCAGGCACAGGCCAGCACCTGCCTCACAGCCACACGGCTCTCGTCCGGAACGTGGTTGGCAGTCATGTTCACAGTCACTGCCGTCACAGTCAGCTTATTAAACTGCTGGCATCGTTAGAGAAAGACAATTCGATGTTTCTAAGAAGGTGACGCTAATCCCATCTCTTGAAACCGTCTGGAATCACAGCACGGCTTCTTATCCTGTGGGGCTCTAAGGCACCTTCCGCAGAGCAAGGACGTACACTGAGAGGCCGGGGAGCAGGGCCTGGTGCCGTGCGGACCAAACCAAGTAACAGCAGTGCAAAACGCAATGTGCCTGTCCCACCCCCACGCGCTCATCCTGGGAAGAAAGGCGCGTGTGGAGTGGCCAAGCGACTCCCCTCCTCTCCTGACTGACGAACAAAACCAGATGGACCCCGGAATGACCACGGCTACTGGGGAGCTCGGGGGCTCAGAGGCAAGGAACTGATGAACAGCTCTGCAAGAAAACGTGATTTGCTGCCTCTGAAACCCGCTGTACGGTCAGCGTGGGTCCATTCCAACACGGCAGAACTCGACAACAACTGGGATGACCTCAGTGGTGGGTAACGCACAGCCTTCGATCACAGCTGTGGGGGGACAGCTCGCCTTCTGGTCCTGCAAACACAAGGAGCCCAGCATCGCGGTAGCGGCAGGAGACCACGCGGAGCGGAAGAAAATCCTCTGATGAAGCGAGTCTCCGATGGCAAGCTGCAGGGGCCCCTGGGTGACCTCTGACCACGTCACAGGGGTGTGGACCCACAGATGACTTGCCCTGGTTGGCCCAGGCCCTCGGCCAGCTGCCCCACAGATCACAGATCCACACTCTGAATGGTCATGCCAGTCCAAGAGGAAATGTAACTGTTTTTAAATGGTTGGGACTATTCACACGGCAGAAGTGGAAACCAGGCTTTTCTCTAATTATTAATTTGCACTCACGATGGAAAGTTAAGCATTTTTTGACATTTAAAATACTTGGGATTGCAAGGACCATCTGACAGCAGTTCAACATACAGGTTCCAGGGACAAAAGGTACTGGATTCTCATGTATTAATGTTCACACACAACAGAGAACTTATACATGTAACACGCACAGAAACCCAGTTCTCAGAGGGTGGTGTATTCAGCTGAGCTTTCGGACCTGCAGGTTATTTGCATGGCAACCCCGTGGGCCCCTTGTGCAGGAAGGGCTGCAATGTGGCCGGTGGCAGAGCCTGCAGTGTCCACCAGGCAGACACAGCCCACCACACTCTCTGAGAGAAACCGTCCAAGCACCTGAGGGGCCAGTCAGGACCTAAGCCGGGCTGAGTGTCCACTATGGATCTCGCCATGTAGCTGCCTGGCCTTTCAGAGGCTCGTATGTTAACATCCATCGTGTGTCTCCCCATCACAGCTTGTGTTTGCGGTGATGATTCTAGAAGACTCTCACCTGCACTAGCAGCATGGCTGCAATCACAGGGTCGATCCTGGAAGCTGGGGCTGGCAGCCCTGGGGGGAGGCACACCCCTGCCAGCAGATTTCTAATCCCCATGTCAGTTTCTTCCTAAGGGTAGGTAGCACTGTCCTTTCTTAAAGCCCTACATAAAGTACTGCATTTAACAGAAGTGACATGTTGGCAAATCTGCCCTTAACTAAAGTTTACTAGAAACATTGGTGTTTCCCTCATTCCAAATGCTGTAACATTGTTAACTGTTTCTAACAGATGCAGCAAAACTATACTCGACCTTAACCATTTTACTGAGAAGATCCACGACCTCACATGGGTAACAGGCCTTCGAGAGGGTAAGCTGTGCTGCCATCCTAAAGGCAGGCGGTTCAAATACCTCAGCGGCTGTGAGGGAGAGGGACTCCCTGAGGGTAGGGAATCTCTCCTGTGCGATTCCTGCCTCTGAAAACCCAGCCGAGGGTCACATGGAGAACAGCCGTAAACAAGCCCACACGGGGCGCCTGGAGCAGCTCTGTGGGCTTCTGCAGGCAACAAGCAAGAGAAGGAGCACTGCGGGACAGCAAGGCCAAGGGTTCAAACCTGCTGCCCTCCAGAAGGACGACGAGGCAGTGTGTGTCTGCAAAGATCGACAGCCTGAGAAACTACCCCTGGAAGTTCTGCTCTGGCTGGGGTCGCGTGGTCGGGACCAACCTGACGATGGCAGGTCTGGCCTTAGTGTATGCGGGTGCAACCTCGGGTTTTTTTTGCAAACAGTCACTGGGTGGTTTCAAACTGCATTTCTTTGGGTTAACAGCTGAGCATTTCCACCCACTGCACTCCCAGGGCCCCTCCCAGCACTGGACGTGACTCCGTGCTCCCCGGCATCTGCTCTGCTCTCTGCGGCACCTCTAGAACATTCTTCTTTCTGCAGCAGGCACATGCCGGCGTCTCTGCCACAGTCACACCGAACGTCTGAACTTCAGATGGTGACTAACTGGGTGTTAAGCTTTATGCATTTTAGTGTAAATACTTCTGATTTGTGTCATTATATATGAAAGACCTGAACAGACCTAAGATTTAGCTACCGTTTTCTAAGAAAATCTACAATGAAAATACAGAAAAACACATTTAGGTGAAATGTTTATGAAAACCTGCCATGGTTGAGAGTAGGAAAGCCATCACTGCTCAACGGAGTCATTTAAATTCACACAGACACTAGGACTCTGCTAAAAAGGAAGTGGGTTTTTGCTTATTTTTGTAAAGAAAAAGCACTGAATGAAGTGAACTTGTTAATACTTAGAGAAAGCTGCTTGTAGGACACAGGAGAGGAACCCGCTGCTGGGCTGAGTCAGCAATCCAACAATAGCAAACGTTGTTTTTTGGTTTGAGGCTGTATCTCAGTTCACCACGGAGGCCGGAGAGCCAGCAGTTCACGCTCCACAGTGAGGCGCGTGCTGCCTGGCGCACAGAGCTCGGGCCTTGCATACGCTCGCCAGCAGGGTCCAGGACCCACCGTTGTCCTAAATACATATGCAGCATCCTCGAGACATTAGGGGCCCAGCTCCAGACCTCCCACAACAGACAGCAGCGCTCACAGCACTGCGATGCCCTGTGTATGACAGCACCGTGAAGTCCTCAGAGCTGCAGGGGGCGGTGCGAAGGCCACATCTCTGGAGGTTTGAAGCCAGCAGCAGCTCCATGGGAGGAATGTGGGCAGTCCCCCCCACCCGCCGCCGTGACCTACAGCTATCTGACCTGCTGTTAACGGGATCACCAGGGGTCATGGTTGGCTGGAGGGCACCTCACACCACAGCCGCAGCACCCCCACAAGCACTGCCACGCACAGCTCAGACCACTCACTGCTGTTGGGGTTGTCACCGATGATGTGATGCCGGCCACTCCAATACCACAGGAGCAAGGTGGCATCTCGGGACCCGGACACGATGTAGCAGTCCCCGCCAATGTAGGACTCCGACCTGGCCAAGCACGTGACCACATCCCAGTGGCCAAAGACAATCTGGGTCAGCTTCCCTGAAACAGAAAGAATAGGTCACGTCACTTCTGATGTGCCTCCTAGAGCTGTGACAGGGAATTTGGAGACAGGAAACAGAGTAAGGGAATGTAAAGCCAGCTTCAGCTGCTGTCGTCCTGAAGCGCCTCTGAAAACAGGCGCAGAGCCTCCATTCACCCTACAGTACGAGGAGAGGAGGGAGACGAGATTCATGGAAATCAAGCAACCAGAATGGAAACGAGAATGGCCGTGCTTTGCGAAGTGTGACGAGAACAGCACTGGCCGTCTACGCCAGAAACTGCTGAGTGGACCCTAAACTGCTTGTAATGTTTCACCCCAAACCTAGGAAGATATTGCTAAAACCAAAAACCTGATAAAGGGTGTCACCTGGATTCTACAAGCACAGTGTGTGTGTGTCTACTTCCTCAGGGCCTGTGGCTGGTGAACCACAGTGAGATTTAAGGGCCTGTATTTGCTGCGTATTTGGGGATGGAGACCCAGTAGTCTTGAGCTGGTAAGCACAGCGGTCATCTGATGGCGACAGCAGGCGAGGTCCCGTGTGTGGCAGCCCTGGCCGCACGGTGCCTTGCTCTTTCTCATTAAGGGCACTTTACACCGGGCTGGGCTTCAGTTCACTGATGGGAAGCTGGCAGCAGCTCGTGCCCAGACATGTTCTCTCAGCGGGGCACAGGCCCTTCGTGGCCGGCTGTCCTGTTCTCTAAGTCCTCTCAACATTCCAGACCTTTCCCGCGTGCTGCTTCCCGTGTGGGATGGTCCTCTGGCATCATCGTTTTCACACACACACCTGGGCATGCGTGCTGTCACTCACTGCACAATCTGCTTTGCTTGCCGTTCTCCAGAATCAAACCCCTGGTGTCCCAAGGTCTGCCTGGAGTTACTCCTTTGCAGAATGAGCATGTCCTCTGAATCTGGGTCCCACTGGTTGACAAATGACAAATGTGTACTGCTTGGAATGGGTTCATGCTCTCAGTGGTCTTCCCCTGGAACACTGACTACCCCATGGGCTGCCCACAGCAGCACTGCCCTGTCCCGCAAGGAGCAAAGTCAGCCTGCTGGTCAGAGGAATGGAGGGGAGACTGCCTCCCTCCTTTGGGCATGTTTTCAGGAGGTGTCGTCGCTGGAGAAGGATTCATGGTGAAGGGAAAGGTCGGGAAGAGGCCCTGTCAGGGAGTGGACTGGCAGTGGTTGCCCCTACAGCATGAGCATGGCTGGCGTGGCCCGAGAGCGGGGCAGGAGCGGGCAGTGTGTCTCGCTGCGACCACACCACGGGTGGCTCTGGTGCCCAGGGTGCCTCACGGTTACCTGTCTCTGTGGAGTATACCCGGAAGCTCTTGTCCCAGAAGCCGCAGATGAGGATGTAGCGGTTGTCCGCGGTGACCACGAAGCAGTGTGCATTCATCTGGATGCTCTGGTCCACGAGGTCCGTGATCTGGCGCTTGTTCACCCCGGAGTTATTGGCTGAAAGGCACAGAGGGATTCAGGTAAGGCTCCACCATGCCCTCCAAGCGCATCAGAGAAGAACGCATCCTACTCCACACATCGCGAAACGGGCCTGGCAAGCCATCCGGTAACTGAGGCCATAACCTCACTGAGAGGAACACAGGGATCCTTGTGTTTGATTGTTCATTTTGGTTTCCAGTGCTAGGATTTATTTATGAGCAATATCACCTATTTTAAAATGATGCCAGAAACCAGATCTTCCTCCTCAGTCTGTAAAGACCAGACCAAAGAGTTCCTGAAACATGGAGCTGTCCCAACACCAAAATGCACTTGACCCCCAAGGTCGCTGCTGCCTGTGAGGACTAAATCGTGCAGAAGGCTGTCGGGACAACACACTTCTTCCTATCTGCCCCATTTACTGCTGTCTGATAGCAGTACGTGGAGTATGCAGCCCCGTGGCATGCATTAGGTCAGCAGCTCTGGGGACCTGGAGTGTCAGCCAGCAAGGCCTTCACCCAAGGTGGCCTTCCTTCCAGAACCTCCCCTGGCAGGGAGGGGATGGTAAAACTGGAGAGGAGACAGGCAGGATGCACATGCAGCCCTGGTAGTGGGTCTGAATAAAGTTAGTGGCAAAGTGACACCATCTGATGTCCCTGGTGCATGTCTTCATTCTTACAGCCTAGAGCTGCTAACCACAAGGTCAATGGTTCAAACCCATCAGGAGTTCCCAGGAAGAAAGAGTGCTCTCATCAAGATTAAAGCTCCCACCCACACGTCGCTGTGCATGTAGCCTGGCTCAGAGCAGAGTCCCTGAGACACCCGAGGCTGGGACCCTGCACAGGAGGACCGTCCACGCCTCACAGCTGGGTCCAGCCAACACCTGCCGGGTTTGGTTTACAAAGACCAGGTACCCTTAGCTTTCATAACCTCCTGGAATCTTGTCTTTTCAGCAGTCCAAAGCTGTTAAATGATGTTTCAGGCTGAAAGGAAGGAGAGTTTGGAATTCTCTGTCTTCCTTCTCTCTTCTATGCTCCCGAGGCTTGTGGACAGTGTGACATGCTTTGCATGGATCCTGAGAGGTCACTGGGTGTGACCTGCACAGTATTCAACTTCAGATTGTGTGGACTACATGCTTCTGCACTGCCCACGTGTATAACAGCAGCTGTGAAGGCTGACATACCGATCAGTGGGTCCATTTCAATGGGGAGATGGTGGGCTTGCTCCAGTGAGTACCCCGGGGCTCCTCTGAGGCCTGAGGACAGAAGGACGAGACAAACAGCATCAATTCTCAGAAATGAGGGTCACATCACCAGGAGGATTTCCTGTGACCACATGAAACGCGCATGGACTGAACACCACGGGGAGATTATTCTAAGTACGAACTGTTTCCATAGACGGCTGATCACACTCACAACAGTTTCCACGGGCCGTGGAGGAAGCCAGGGGCCACAGGGCAGAGCTGGGTGAGGGAAGCTCGGTCCACCCTGTGCAGCCAAAGGGCCATGGGCTCCACGGGGCCCGGCTAAAAGGAATGCTAGTGCCCCTGAACCTTCTCTCCATACCACTAAACGAGCAGGGACAGGCAACCATGTCCCAACTTCAGCATCAGCCCAGCAGGCCGGCCTGGCAGGTCCCTGACCCATCGCTAGGTCAAAGTGCATCCGTACAACACGCATGACGCTTTCCAACAACCGTAAGAACACGTTCCCTCGCTCGTTGTTGCCAAGGGGAAGGCTCCTGTAGTAATTAAAAATCGTTGTTTTTCCTTGAGATGTTCCCGGCTGCACGCTGCTGGCAGACTGGACGGCGTCCTGCTGCTAATGTGTCAGTCACAACAGTGGAGCACAAGGACCTCCATGCTCGTACAGGCACGAGGCCCTGGACCACCGGAGCTCTGCGCTGCCAGCGCGGTCAGTGGGAACTTTCGAGGGACAGTTCTATTGATCCAGGGAGGCTGCTCCCAGGCCTGGAGCTGGGGGGCTTCTGAAAGCCCTTCAGTGACAAGAAGACATCTGGTCCCATGGACTCTGCCTTGGTCACACACGTCACTGTGTCCTAAGCCTCTGCCGTGTGACCCCACCTCAGGGGGGCTGCTGGCACTGGGGGATGCCCTGAGTGAACGGTGGGCATTGGCTGCACTGTTTGACAGTCAAGGATTTCCTGAGTGAATACACGACAGGTAGGAGGCCTGGCCCCTCCAGCCCTCTCTGCTGGGGACTCCATCCCTTCAGTGCTTAGAATGCAAACTAGGGACTTCAGGGCGAGCTGCTGGGGCCTCATAAGGAGGACCCAGAGACAGGCTGTTTGAATCCACGGCTGCTTTGTGGCAGAAGAGCTAGCAGTTTCCTCCTGTGTGATTTCCTGCCTCTGAAAACTCTCTAGAGGGTCAGCTATGGGTCGGTTCTGCCTCTGTGCCACACAGCAACAACCATGACAATGTCACCAGTGCTCTCAAGCCTTCCAGAAGCAGTGCCCCAGCCTTGTTGAGCCCCAGGGTGGCTGTGAATCACTGTCCTTCCACTGCAGTTGACTGCTTCCCCTGGGGAACATGGACGGACAGTGGCTTTGGAGGGTCGGATGGAGTGGGAGAGGCAGTGTGGCTTCCTGCAGACCTGGTTCCATGGTTACCTACCAACCACCTCTAAGCAGTTACCCACTGTCCTTTGGGGCAATGAACGGAGCAGAGTGCACAGTGCAGTTTGCTGGCAGCCAGCTCTCCTGGCCTGAAGATAATGCAGATACCCCCTAACTCTTAACGAAATGATCCAACTCAGTGTGTGGTCATTCCTGGTGACCCGCCAGGGCAGCCCCAGCTCGCCTCAGTCTGGGCCCTTACGGGGGCGGACGGCCTTGCTGATGGACTCCAACCACCCACGCATCTTTCTCTCGGCAGCCCAACACACTGTGCCACCACATCTGCTCTCATCCAGCTGCATGGTAAGATTTTTCATTCTTAGGGAACACAAGGCACACATTTGGGATGCTGTAGCTTGGACGCAGGGCACCGCATGAAGAAATGACCAAAAGAAAACCAGCTGAGTTGCCCAGGTGTGCTTAGCTTGTCGGGCACAGCTCCAACCTGAGCACAAGGCTGTGGTCTATTACATGGGTGGTAGATGAAAACTGAAGCGATTCTGAACTGTTGTGAGAATGAGGTGTGCCACAGAACACGGAGACTGGCAGGACACAGAGAACATGAGCCACTGGACACGGGAGCCACGACGCACAGGACATGGAAACCGTGATTCAGGGGGCATGGGGACTGTGTCCCACAACACAGAACACAGGCCTCCACAGGTCTTGCAGGAAAGATGCTGAGGCTGCCACCTAGCAGGAGGCCACGTACCCACGGTGTTGTGCCATCTGTTCACTGCAAAGAGCCTGCTGCAGGTCACGGTCACCACGGCGGGAATGGTGAGGTGTGGCAGCGTGTTGGCCGCCACATGGGTGACGGGCGAGTTGGAGGGAAACTTGAGCACCATAATCACGTCCTGCTGCATCTGATCTTTGAACATGAGCGGGCTCTGCGGAAGGAAACACTGTGAATAGAAGGGAGGAGCAGGGAGACAGAAGGACAGGACAGTTAGTGAGCCGTCGGGAAGGGGAGCCAGCGAGGGGCCCCACAGAAGCCCTGCACAGATACCCCATGTGGACCGGGTGGCACCCTGCCCATGTGCCATCGTGACATGGAGAGGGCAGGGCCTGAGCACCGTGACAGTCCACTGACCATGTGCCTCTTAACACAGGAGAGGGCAGGGCCTGAGCACCGTGACAGTCCACTGGCCACACACCATCGTGACATGGGAGAGGACAGGGCCTGAGTCCTGTGACAGTGTCCACATCATGGCTGGACTTCTGTACAAATTGGGCACCAGGCCCTTCTCTGCGTGTCACTGAAGTCCCCTTCCCACCCTCAGGGATTCTCATTAAGTGCTGCTATACAGACAGGTGTCCAGAATTTTTGTTCATAGGGTTGCCATGAGTCGCCTACGACTTGACGACACTGAACAACAGTAACAACATGCCAATTTTTAACAAAAATGTGTAAAGCAATTAGCATGATGCAATTAAGGAAAACTTAGGGGTAGTGTGAGCTTGACAAACAAAGAGCGTGAACATGTTATTGGCATAGTCTAAGGATATCGAGCTGTTAGCGATGACTCAGTTTACAGATGTGCCCATGCGGCACTGAGCAAATTCTTCAAAGCCACCAAGAAACCAATTTCGTGAACAAATTTCTCAAGTTGGTTGTGAATATCATTTGCACGAAACAGAATTTGGCCTGCGTGGCCGTCACCTTCTCTGGGTGCTTGCGGGTCACTGGCCCAGTGCCAATGGTCACAGCACTGGAGCCTCTGCAGCTCAGCCTGGCAACCACCTGGGTGCCGCCTGCGCCTGCCACCGGGTGTGGCGTGCTCTCTATGCCTTGCTTGGCCCCCTTCCGGAGCGGGGCTCTCCTGGAGCGGCCCGAGGGCAGGAACATGCTCCACGGCCTCAGTCTTTGTCACCCCAGCATGTACTGGGTGACTTGTTAGCAGGAAACAGCCCGTATGCTCAGGGTTGTCCCCACTCTGTGTGGCCCTCCTGGGTCTCAGCCTGCAATCTTTACAGAGGAAGCCACGGTAGACCAGAGGCAGCGTCACTGCTGAGCCAAACGCTGGGCTTCTCTGATGGTCCAAATCCACCAGCAGCCCCGTAGGAGAAGAGCAGTCCCCTCCTAGTGAGATTTTTAGTCTTTGAAATCTGAAGGACGGGCCCCAGGGCTTGGACCATCTCCACATCGGTGAGCTTGAAACTTTCCAGGAGCAAAATCCAAAACCAAACATAAAGCAGGACAAAGCCCTGCGGTGCTGAGTGACTCCCCAGCCCTGGGCCTGCCAGGCGATATCTGTGGGGGCCCTGGGTGGTCATCTTCAGGGACACACACTGGCCTCTGGTCTCCTCCACAGCACTTGACAGCTTTAAATCATGACTTCTCAGTCATAATGCTTTATAAATGCTGTAAGACCCTACTACAAATCCCTTTATGAAAACCGTAAGTTAGGCGTGTGGTATCCACGACTTCCTTTTTATCCATACTTCATAATTATCGGTAATATATAGAAATTCTCTTGCTACATGAACTTAAGAAACCGTAGGTTCCTTTCTGAACTGTTCTACGCCTCTAAAAATATCCCCCAGAAAATGAATGGCTTCAGGATGGGCGTCCCTCCAAGAAAAGGTGGTGGTGGTGGTGTTACGACTATGACTGCTCCATAGAGAAAGCTGAAGCGGAAATACGGCTTCTCGACAAACCAGGCCTCGGAAAAGGCCCGGTCTGTTCCCCATGCACTTTGTTAAAATGCTGCATGTCTAGGCCCCTGGCTGCCTCGCTCCACCTCTCCGGCCCCAAGACAGAGAGTAACTGGGGGAGGAGGACTCCTCTACAGCCCTTCCGGTGTCATACACCACCCTGATGTGGACGCACAGCTGTGCAGAGCCAGTCCCCCCACCCTGACGTGGACCACCACACCACCCCGACGTGGACGCACGCTGTGCAGGCCATCCCCAGGGTGGAAACAAGCAGTGTGTCTATTGTAGAAAGGAGACCTCAAAACCCTGGGGCCCTTGGGGGTCAGTCCCAACCCTGTGGATGGAGCAGAACCACCTGGGGGCCTCAAGATGGCATCTTTGCAGGACTAGACTTCTCCCAACCTCTCGGCTCACAGCCAAGCCGGTGACCACGGCACACCAGGCTCCTTGCAGGATGGTGACCATGGGAGGAACTTCTTCCTCATGGAATGGTGTCACTATTTGTGGGTGACTGAGGGCAAGGGTGTCTGCTCCCTCTGTGTGTCCAGGGCCTGGCATCACACTGCACATGGAGACCCCACCTGACAGGAGTGGGGCCACGCCCCCTGCGCACACAGCAGCGAGGCCCCTGGCTGCATGTACTGTGTGCACGGCTATTGCAGAACAGCTTCCCAAGGGGGTGGCCCAACCACGTTGGGGTGCTTGCTGGGGGGAGCATTTTCAGGCCATTCTGCAGCTGCTGGGACAGGGAGAGGTGACAACATCCGAGCCCCATCAGTTCAGCACAGGAGTGGTATCTGATCTGCTCCTGATCCTGGATCCTCAACAGCTGGGCTCTCAACACCGTCCCTTGTCTCAAAACCAACTCATTCCCTTTCCCCCTGAAAGCTCATGGCTGAAAGTTCACATAGTTCTTAGATGTTTTCATTGTAATTTGTGAATCTAATCATTAGGGAGGTCTGATGGCCAAATGGTAAGACACTGTGCTGCAATCCCAAAGGCACGGGGCTCAAATCCCCCAGCCGCTGCGTGAGAGGAGGCACATTCTCCTCCCGTGTGATTAGCTGCCTCTGAAAACCTGCTGGAGGGTCAGCAATGAGTGGGTTCCAACTCGATGACACAACAATCTCATTTTAGGGACGAGGTCACTTCTAAGACGAGGCCTGGCGATGGGAGTCTCCCAGACAGGGTGGCCTGGGAACCCTAGGGGGTAGCTCACTGTTCTCTTCAGGGCCGCTGCAGGCTGGGACCGACCACGGCAGTGGGTTCAGTTTTCGGGTTTTGATTGTACTTCTATCATAGAATGGAGCTCGTGACCGAGTGATAAGGAGCAGTGCTGGCAAATCAAAGGCAGACAGTTCAAATCCCCCCACCAGCTGCTCCACAGGAGAAAGATAGGCACTCAACTCCAGTGCAATTCACTGCCTCCCAGCCCCTGCAGGGTCAGCCGAGGACTGGCTCTCACTGAACGGTACACAGCAACAGCACCATAAACACAAGAGGCCTGCTGGAGCAGTGGTTAAAGAGCCTGGCTCCTGAGTGGTAAACTCAGGGTTCAAATCCACCAGCTGCTCTCAGGAACGAGACTTATTTCTGAAGACTGTGCCCTGGAAAGCAGACAGGGTGGCTCCAGTCATCCTCGGGTGTCGCTGTGCATCAGAATCGCCTCAGACACTCGAGCACACGGTGGGCTCCCCAGACTCAGAGAAGGGCACCCAACGGGGCTGACTAGGGGCTTCCTGAACTCACTGTCCTCTCTGCCCCTCCCCGGCGCACCGGTCTCCCTCGGCTGGTGCACTAACCAGTCCTGAGGGGCCTTCCCGGGGGCCGCCCAAGCCCTGTGTCCCTGGTCTCCCTGGAGTACGTAGGACCCACGGGCACAGACCAGCGCTGAGAAGCTGACTCACCAGATGCATGGCTGAGCTCCGAGGCGGGTGCGGCTCAATGAGCAACTGCGATGGCGTCTGTCCAAAGTTCTGGATCTGAGCTTCCATGGCCTGAGGGGTGAGAAGAGGATGTTACAGTCAATCTGCGTCAGAGAGGCCGTTGACAGCACACGTGGATCCCACGGCAGCCGTGGAAGGAGTCCAGAAGACGAGCCCCCGCTTCTCCAGGGAACCAAGGGTTAGTCTGGTGCTGACCCGGGTGGGGGGGCGGGTGCTCTGGAGCAGGAGGGAGGGACACAGGTGGGTGTGTAAACACGAGGATGCCATGCGCTTAAAGCCAAAGAAAGTGTTAATCCACACTTCAACACGGCACCGGTACCTGGATAAAGTCCCTGGTGAGAAGGAACGTATGGGAGTCTCTAATGAAATGAGCTTCTGCCATCTTAATGGAGGGAAAGGAAAAAAAAGAATACGAGGTTGAACTCATCAGTGATAAACCCCCAAACCCAGAGCCGCCAGTTGAGAAGGTAAGAGTGGGAGACACGGAGATTCTTGTAGAACGATTCGATGTGACGGACCCTCAGCCTGCTGGGAGGTGTTAGAAGGGGCCATGGTGGCTCAGACCTCGCCTGTTGGACTATTAATGACACAGTCAGGCATAAAGAATATGCCAAGTAGTTCAAATGTACCGGCCTCTCCTTGGACAAGAGGAGGCTGCCTCCCTGCCACGGGTTGTTGCTGGAGCTGAGGGCTGTGGGACTGGAACTGATCCACAGCTGATGTGACCTCGGGTTTTCAGAGGCAGCAAGTCACATGGGAGGAGACTGCCCATCCTTCTTCTGCAGAGCAGTTGGTGGATTTGAACTGTGTGCCCTTGAGTTGGCACAGAAGCTCCTTACGACTAGGCTACCAGAACTCTCTCGCTTTAAGAGTTATGCCGGGAGCACTGGTGGCCTACTGGTAAGAAACTACACTGCAATCCCAATGAGTTATGCCCTGAAATGCTCAAAAGGACTGGCAGTAGGAGAGATGCAAATCAGAATCACAATGAGACACAGCCTCACACCTCACACGGACTTAGCAGTGGCAAAGTTTCGCAGGTCAGCAAGCGAGAAATGCTGGACAGGATGTGGAGAAGTGGGAACTCTCATTCACTGCTGGTGGGACTGGAAAATGGTGCAACCACTCTGGAAGGCAGGTTGGCGTTTCCTCACAAAGTTGAACATAGAAACTCCACATGATCCAGCTATTCCACTACTAAGAATATACCCCAAGGGAATCAGAAGAGACACAAGTGGATATTTGTACACCAGTGTTCATAGCAGCGTTATTCACCATCGCAAGAACATGGAAACAGCCCAGATGTTCAACCACAACCAAATGGATGGAGAAACGGTGGTACATTCACATGATGGAACACTACGCAGCACTAAGGAGCAAAGATTTCACAAAATACAATGCAACTTGGGGGACGCTGGAGAGCATTAGGCCGAGTGGACTAATGCAATCTCTTAAGGACAAATATGGCATAAGACCATTATTGTATAAATAGAATGGTAACTCAGAAGACGTGTATGGGAGCCCAAGGAGGGCAGGGCTGAGGAGGGTAGGGGAGAAACCCCAGGGCTGCACAGTTTGGTGGATAGAGGGAGGGGTAGGAAATGGGAAGGATGGTGGGCAAGGCCCAATAGTGATTGATTTTATAAAACAGTGCATGAGAATGACTGTATGAAACACAATGTGAATGAAGAATAGTGCAAACCACAATGTATCAAACTTTGTAAGCAAACCAATTCTCCAGTGGGGGCTCAGCCCTGGTCTAGATCAACTAGACACCAGGGGCTTGGCTTCTTGGTGTGATTTTTATTTTTTTTTAATGTTATAATGGTTTGCTTACAGTGTTCATAAAGTTTATATATATAGTTTTTCACACGGGATCTTTCCTCTTTCCTTTACTCACCTCTCCCTCTACCCATTAAATTATGCAAGCCTATGATTTTCCCAGTAAATGGACTCCTTGTATGCATATGGATATTATCCTGTCACTCACAACATTATATTTCAAGACTGATTCTACTGATGATTATCTAAAAATGACTGGAACAGCCTATCAACAGAGAACTGCCTGAAGTGCAGGCTGGGTTTAGAAGAGGCCATGGGACCAGCGATATTAGAGCTAGTGTTAGCTGGATCTTGGTTGAGAGCAGAGAGCATGAATGTCTGTGTTTCATTGACTATGCAAAGGCGTTTGACTGTGTGGATCACAATAGGACTGTGTCTGACTCTGAGAAGAATGGGAATCCCAGAACACTTGATTGTGCTTATGTGAAACCTGTACTTGGGCCAGGAGGCAGTTATCAGAACAGAGCAAGGAAACACTATGTAGTTCAAAATTGGGAAGGGCGTATGCCAGGGATGTGTACTATCTCCATACCTTTTTTTTTTAAATTGAGATTTTAATGAAGGTTTATGGAGAACTTGGATTTCTATTTTTCTATCCATTCATTGTTGCACATTTTCCTCCCTGCCCCGCAGTTCACTTTTCTCTTTGAAAAAAAAATTATTGCATTGTTGTACAATTCCCCCCTCCCACTCGAGTCCACTTTACTATGCAGTCCTTATTCTTGACAGTTACATACAAAAAATTCCTAATCATTTATTCAAGAAGTTCTTTCAGTCACCTATTTCCATGCAGTGTACATTATTTATCCCCTCTTTTATAGTTTCCTCCAATTCTGATGTCAGTCTTGTTTTATAACAGTGGCATTATGTAGTATTTGTCCTTTTGTGACTGAGATATTTCACTCAGCATAATGTCCTCCATGGTCACCCATTTTGTATAATATTTCATGAGTTCCTTGTTTTTCAGTGCTGCAAAGTATTCCATTGAGTGAATAAATTACAACTTCTCTATCCATTCATTTGCTGATGGGCACTTGGGTGTTTACATCTCTTTGCTATTGTGAACAAAGCCGCAATAAACATGGGTGTGCATATATTTGCTTGGATGGTAGTTCTGGTTTCTTTAGAATAGGTACTGGTAATTCCAGTAGTGGAATTGCTGGGCAAAATGGTATTTCTATTACCAACTTTTTGAGAAAGTGCCATACTGCCTTCCATAGTGGTTGGATCATTTTACACTCTCACCAACAGTGAATAAGGGTTCCAGTTTCTCCACAATCTCACCAGCATTTGTTGTTTTCTGCTCTGCTGAATTTTGTTATTCTTACTGGGGTAAGATATTATCTCATAGTTGTTTTGATTTGCATCTCCCTTAGAGCTAGAGATTTTGAACATTTCTTCATGTGCTTGTTGGCCATCTGAATGTCTTCTTTGGTGAAGTGTCTGTTCATATCCTGTGTCCATTTTGCAAATGGGTTATTTACTTTTACCTTGTGGTGTTCATACCTTTTCAATCTATACGCAGATTATCCAGGAGGCTGGGCTCTATGAGGAGAAATGTGTCATCAGGAGTGCAGAACTGAAGCGGACATGCAGCACTTGCTGTAGAAAGTCAAGGACTGCAGCCTTCAATATGGATTAAAGCTCAACATCAAGAAAACAAAGATTCTCACCACTGGGCTGACTGACAGAATCATAATTGACGGTGAAGAGACTGAGATTGTTAACAGCTTTAGTTTGCTAGACTCCACAATTAACACTCTTGGTATCAGTATCCAGGAAATGAAAAGGTTAATTACATTGGAAAAGTCTGTTGTCAGAGACCTCTCCAAAGTACTGAAGAGCAATGATGTCAGTCTGGAGACCAAAGTGCACCTGATCCATGCCATAGTCTTTACAATTACTTGCTATGCATCAGAAGGAGAACTGATGCCTTTGAGCTGTGGTGCTGGAGAAGAGGATTGAATATACCATGGACTGATAAGAAAACAAACAGGTTCCTCCTGAAGAGGGTGAGACTAGGCTGCTCCTTGGAGGCAAGGATTCTGAAGCTCCGTCTGACATACTTTGGTCATGTTGCAAGGAGGGACCAGTCCTTGGAGAGGGACATCATGCTTGGGAGGGTGGAGGGACAGTGCAGGAGAGGAAGACCCTTGATGAGATGAACTGATTCAATGACTAGTGTAATGGTGGTAGGTGTGTCAGAGACAGTGAGGCTGACACGAGCAAGGTTTAGGGCTGTTGTATACAGGGTTACTATGAGTTGCAGGTGACTTGAAAGCACGTAACAACAACATGGATTTTTTTTTTATTTCATTTAAAAAATTTTATTTTGGTTTATTTACAAAGTTCATATACATTACTTTTCACATTAGATCTTTCCCATTTCTTTCACACCTCCCCACTAATAATTAAAACGACCATATGATTAACACCCCCAGCCTGGCCCATTCTCACCCCTCTGCTCTTCCCCCTTTTGGATTCTGATACAAGTTCTCCAATAATGGTCTTACACAGTATCTGTCCTTACGGGACTGAGTTAGTTCACATAATATAATGCTCTCCAGTCCATCCCAAGTGAGATAGTGATTTACATTATCATTGCTGCTGTGCAGTATTCCCTCGTGTAAATGTACTATAATTTCTCAATCCATTCATTTGTGGTTGGACTTCTAGGCTGTTTCCATGTTCTTGTGATGGTGAATAATGCTGCTATGAACACTGGTGTACAAGTCTCTGTTTGAGCCTCAGTTCTCATTTTCTCAGAGAATATTTCCAAACAGTGGAATAGCTGGGTCATATGAAATTTCTATGTTCAGCTTTTTGAGGAAACACTAAATGCCTTCCAGAGTGGTTGTACCATTTTACAATCCCACCAACAATGTATAAGAGTTCCTATCTCACTGCATCCTCTCCACCATTTCTTGCTTGCCGTCCCATTGAACTTTGCCACTGCTACTGGAGTGAGATGGAAAAGCATTGCGGTTTTGATTTGCATCTATCCTACTGCCAGCAATTTTGAGAATTTCCTCATGTGTCTGTTGGCCATCTGAGTGTCTTCCTCTGTGAAAAATATTCCCATGTCTTTTATCCATTTTATAATTGTGTTGTCAGTCTTTTTCTTGTGGAGGCCCTGTAGGATTCCGTAAACTTTTAATATGAGACCCTCATCTCAAATGGTATTGTCCAATATTTTTTTCCCCAATCAG